CTCCTATCCCCATGCTCTTCATCCTCCTCCTCCTCCTCCTCCTGCTCCTCCTCATCCTTCTCCTCCTCCGCCTCCGCCCTCCGCCTCCGCCTCATCATCCCTTCCTCTCCTCCTCCTCCTCCTCCCTCCTCCCTCCTCCTCCTCCTCCTCCTCCTCCTCCTCCTCCTCCCTCCTCCTCCTCCTCATCCTCCTCCTCCTCCTCCTCCCTCCTCCTCCTCTCCTCCTTTCCCTCCTCCGCCTCCTCCTCCTGCACCTCCTCCTCCTCCTCCTCCTCCTCCTCCTCCTCCTCCTCCTCCTCCTTCTCCTTCTCCTCCTCATCCGCCTCCGCCTCCGCCTCCGCCTCCGCTCTCTCCTCTTCCTCCTCCTCCTCCTCCTCCCCTCCTCCTCCTCCTCATCCTCCTCCTCCTCCTCTCCTCCTCCTCCTCCTCCCCCTCCTCCTCCTCTCCTCCTCCTCCTTTCCTCTCCGCCTCCCTCCTCCTCCTGCACCTCCTCCTCCTCCGCCTCCTCCTCCTCCGCCTTTTCCTCCTCCTCATCCTCCTCCTCCTCCTCCTCGCCGTCAGGCCGAAACATTTTTCAATTGCTTCGCTACCGCGGATAAGCGGTGCAGCCTGGGCTCCGTGTGGCACCGCCTGAATGCGGTGTGGGTCCGATGTTGCCAGGCTCCCTATCCCGTCAGCTCGCGGGTGCTATAAGGAGCCGGACGGAGGGCTGCACCTCCCCTGGGAGGTTCGTAGTCGTTCGTTGTCGTCCTTCGTGTCTCGCTTCGTCGTCGTTTCTGTCGCCCCAATCCCTGTAAGGGAGTTGCGGCGAGGCCCTGGGTCAAATTCCAGGCTGGACGTTGTTTGGACGTTCTTTGCGCTCCTAGGCCTGAAGGTGGCCCTTCCCACCCCCTCCCCCCGCCCCCTGCTGCCGCCGATGTCGCCGTTGCATCGGGCCCAGTTTTTTTATGCCCTGCCACCTCGGCCAAGAGGTGCGGCCTGGGCGCGGGGAGACCCCACCACCTGGTCTGAGGTGAACTGCCGTTGACGTTCACGGAGGCGGGGCCCGCGGCTTCCCACCTGTAACAGTTTGGTTGCAGTGCTCTTTGCCACGAACATACTGCTGCAGTGCTCATGGGGGTAGAGGTGCTGGACAACGCTCCGTGTTTTGTACCTTGGGCGCCGATCCTGAACCTCCATGCGCCATCTTGGCGAGGGGTGTAGGGCGGTCCTTAATTTGCCTCCTTGTTCCCCCATATTCCAAATTGGGGTCGCGTTTTCTCTTGACACCCTCCGCGCAGGAACCTTCTCACCCCCTCGTCGTCAAGCATCTCTCACACACTCACACACTCACACACCAATCACGAGCATGATCAATTTGACTATCTTGATCGTCATAATCATCATCATCATCATCATCATCATCATCATCATCATCATCATCATCATCATCATCATCATCATCATCATCATCATCATCATCATCATCATCATCAGCATCAGCATCAGCATCATCATCATCATCATCATCATCATCATCAGCAGCATCATCATCATCATCATCATCAGCAGCATCATCATCGTCGTCGTCGGCATCAGCATCATCATCATCATCATCATCATCATCATCATCATCATCATCATCATCATCATCATCATAATCATCGTAATCATCATCATCAACAACAACATCATCATCATCAGCATCGTCATTCTTACCATCATCATCATCATCATCATCGTCAGCAGCAGCATCATCAGCAGCGACATCATCAGCATCATTACCATCATCAACAGCATCGTCAGCAGGCGCATTAGCATCAGCAGCAGCAGCAGCAGTATCATCATGAGCAGCATCATCAGCAGCATCAGCATCATCAGTATGGCCATCATCCTCATCATCATCATCAACATCATCATCAGCATCAGCGGCATCATCAGCCTCATCATCATCAGCATCATCAGCATCAGCATCAGCATCATCCGTATCATCATCAGCAACATCATTATGGTCATCATATTCATCCTCATCCTCATCCTCATCCTCAACATCATCATCGTCATCATCATCAGTATTATCATCATCAGCATCAGCCTCAGCCTCATCATCATCAGCATCATCATCAGCATCAGCATCAGCATCATCATTATCATCATCAGCATCAGCATCACAATAACCAGCATCAGCAGCATCAGCATCATCAGAATCATCATCATCGTCATCATCATTAATCCGAGCGGGTCATCCTCAAACCTGTAAGTGTCGTCACTTGTGGGATCCTTAGGCCTGAAGATGGAGGGAGCATCAGACGGGAGCCTCGTCTGTGAGTGAATTGCGAAGAATTCTCAGGCGGGAGCCTCCTCCCTATCGGGCCCGCAGCTCATGTTTTGGACCTGAGCGGGTCATCCTCAAACCAATAACTGTCGTCATTTTTGGAGCTCCTCGGGCTTGAAGATGGAGGGAGTATCTGGCGGATGCCTCGTCGATGAGTGAATTGCGACGAATTCTCAGACGGGAGCCT